AAAACATACTTTCCGAAAGGGCAAAAACGTTAATCTGACCGTTGTGACGCCCATTTCTGCTAATCAGTAAACGAATTAATATCAAAGCCAAAAACCACGAGCCAAGACAAAATATATGGGTGCAGTATAAATAACTACGGTAAACATGGACGTTGTGTTGTGATGCAGTGACCACACATGTTCAGAGCTACCACAAGAGCAACTGGGGGTACATCCTTAAAGTAATTCAGGCTTACTGGTTTCGTTAGACGTGCAGCAGGTTTTCTTGGTATTGCAGGACTGAAACCGACTCGAGTGTATCCAATCAGACCCATTAGGTGTTCCTTTTAAAGGAAGAATTATCAAACCTTACAGTTTAACTACGTACGTGTAAACACATACACTGTTCACCAAAAGACGCCCACATACCCCATCTAAGTAACCTGTCGTCTCACACCTCCATATCGTCAATGACGAATACTTCAATCTATCCAAACACAAGTGTACTTTTGTGTGATGCAGATACGGTTGCCTGAGCAGAACCGTAAGGTTTGTCATGAAATTCACAGAGATATGCAGTTTGTAGTTTGACAGCCCACAGCTTTATGTTCTGCCGGGTTCATGTGATGCTCACACAAATGAAGGCTGTCTGGTGTGAAATCGGAATGTTTGCAGGAGGGAAGTCACACTGCGAGTAATTTGGTTTCGAAAGCCACAGAAGAAACACATAAATGGTTCGGTTTGAAAGTGTAAGTCACAATTAACGACACATGGGGAGCTACGAGGGGATGAAAATAGGCCCCTATATTTGTCATTGTGAGCCTTCGGCGTTGTTCAGGAGCTGGGATCCGTAACCTATCACGCTATCCAGCCTCCAATCCCTCAGTATAGTCGATTTAAACCGCAGGGAATGCGATCAAGAAAGCAAACTCAACATCTCCGAGATTTATTATAGGATTGGTAAATAAGGTGTATTTACAAAGATAAACAATGAATTCCGATCAGTTGAGCACTGAATCAGTATTTTCATTATTCAAGCGGGATCTCAGATGGTGCTTGAAAACATACCTGGGAAAGGCACTTAACACAGTTTAACGACTCATCCTATGCATAATCATGTCAAGGAACCTACTGGGGTCGGAAAAAGTCACTTACCATCAATTCTGGACTTGATGTTGAGAAGCGAGGAGCTTGTGGTCGAATCTGTCAAAATCCCGTCCCATTCAGAACGCAGCTGTCATGCAGTTCTGCTTTTCGATTACAATTACAACGCCTTCATAAAAACGATGCCCGACAATTAACACTTGCACACCAAGTGACTACAGAAAATTACAGAACTTATAACGGCCGCGACAGGACCAAGCCTATCGGTAAATCACAAACGAGATTGTCACTTATTCTCAATCAAATAAGGAAATAGATGTCACGGAGGAATTTCTCCAGGTGAGAATTTAAAAGATGTCCAACTGTTAACACTTGGGATAGCTACATCATGTTGAGAAACCTGTGTCCGAAGTGCACGAGAGAACAAACGGAGGTATCAATGAAACCCGGTTCATTAATTTATTGCCAATCCAAGGCTCTTATATAAGCATACTAATACCACAGAAAAGCAAAATACGGAATATCGGCAGAGACATGCTCGACGCGTTTCTACTGCTACGTCCGAAGCAGCTAAATTCTTAAAAGTACAGTTGTATGAAGTGTGTTCTTCGGGCGACAAAGTCAAACTGCAGCTTCCATAACTTTTGTCTTGTGTCCCGTACCAACTGACTACCGTCAGCTTCGAGAATGAAGCAACAGTGGCAACACTGCTGGCGTTGCGCAAGGATTCTCCCCTGGGGGAAATCAGTATCCTTCTTGACAAACCCATATTTGAAATAATCGGTACAAAACCGTGATTCCTTAGCCCGGGAAAGTAGGTGTCATTTCACCCATTTACAAGCGTGGCTGCCGAAGTGATCCTGCGAACTGCTGCCCAATTACACTTCTTCTTAATGGAACAAAAGTAATGGAACCAGTTGCTGCTGATTCTCTGATGGAGCATTGCGAGAAGTATAGGATTTTGTCACTAACTCAACAAGGGTTTTGACGAAGATGGTAGTGCATCACTAATCTGCGACATGCAGAAGACAAGAACAGTTGACGCACGGGGAGGCAGTGAATGTAGTCTACTTGGATATTTCTAGAGCTTTATTTGAGGACTGTTCATTGATTGGATTGAGGAATGTTTTCGACAATGTACCCCACCAGTTCGAGTTTAATGGTTCGCCATCGGGACCAATCCATGCTGCAATTCCACAAGTATAGGTATCCACCTTTTCCTGAAATTTATAAACGATCTGCCAGATATTCTTAGGGTATGCGTACCTTTATTTACGGACGCCACCAAAAGCGCAATATAACGTCCTGAAGATCATAAAACATTACAGGAAACACTTGACACAGCTTACTGATGGGCCAAGATTATTGATATCAA